CCCCCCCCCCCCCCCAAACCCCGCGTCTGAGAGGGTGGTTCACCCTCGCCCACTCCGCCCGCCCACGAACGCTACTGCACGCAAGCAAGCCACTCAACCAGGACTAAAACAGAATGCCAACATGACGTCGCCGGGATCAAGCACAACAACCCACCAACGACAAAAACAACAAACGCACCTGCAAGAGGTAAGTGCGGGTACCGTGCAGCACGCCGGGGCTGCCCTGGGTCAGCGTCGCCGAGTTGAGGGCGTCCATCCCCTTGCCGCCGGCCTCCACGCCCACGAGCTTCACGTCCCCGGCGTCCACGTCCCCGACGAAGGGGTGGAACATGCCGATCGCGTTTGACCCGCCGCCGACGCAGGCCACCACGTAGTCGGGGAGCTTACCCGCCATCTCGACGATCTGCGACGACGACCAAGCCAAGCGAGAGAGGTTTGCGGCGTCAATACACCGCCCGGTTGGTGGGCACACATATTTAATAAATTGCGGCAGCGGCGAAAAGGGGGAAGAGCGGGAGTGCGGTCAGATTTTCGCATCTTCCTGCCCGCAGCCTAGCTTGGCGCCCGCAGGGCCAGCGGCCACGTATGTGTAGAGGCTTGAAAGTATTGGATTTATCTGCGCCTGTCTCTGAGTGCAGACGCCGCGCCAACGATGCAGTACGCAAAACACGTGCAATTGCACACATAAAACACGTGCTTCAGGGGTCCTGGGCCGACGGGATCGAAAAAAGGAGGCTGGCCCAGGCAGCCAGAACGAAAGAAAAATGTCGGACGATAGGCGAAAGCACCACAAGAAAACCCTTGGGCTACACTAAAAACACGCAAATTCGATCCTGACCTAAGTAGCAAGTGCTGGCTGTTGAGTCATACAGCAGTACATACAGCGAGGGGGGCGGACAAGGAGAAGGAACACAGAGAGAGAGAGAGGAATGGAGGGAAAGAGAGAGAGGAGAGAGAAACACACACAGGCAAGCAACGTGCAAGACGTGTCATACATCACAAAAAAAAAAAAAACGGATCCGACAAGGCAGCACCTGTGAGCGGGCCTCCTTCCCGATCACGGCCTGGAAGTCGCGCACAATGGTGGGGAAAGGGTGGGGGCCGATCGCGGAGCCGATGA